AGATAATTCATCCTTCAAAATTTGATTAGTTGCACTAGAATTCTTAGATCTAAGGAGCCCGAGAAATTTGGAGTCGGTATTGAGAAACCTTTTACGTTCGAATTCCGGACACAATATTTTTTCTGTAAATGAGCACCTACAAATTTTGTTGAACTGTGGTAGACTCGAGTTCAATAGGAGAAATTTGTCCTTCTTACCGTCTAACGGTGAGGTAAAAACTCTAAAGTTAAAAAACTAATTTTGAACCATTAAATGTAGATAAAAATTATTTGTTTTTGTATTATTGCATCAAGTCAATATTTATTTGTTATATTATTGTGAAGCTATTTTGATTCTGAGATTTATAAACAGTCGTTGATGATCACAATCACTCAGCCGTTAATCTAAAAAACGTTCCCTCTAAAGATCACGAAGTGCAGTGCGAGAAATAAGACGTGCTTCATACGGCAGCGAGGAACCAAGTCAGCCTCCACAGTACGGTACAATAAATGGTCTTCTCTCCATCTGATTTTTATTTCGGCGGTCTATTTAACCCTCAATCCCAATTCTTCCTCCCATTCCCCACTCTTCCAATCTTCCTATATATCGCCGGCGATGCGGGCAACAGCGGGGGACCGCACTGGCTCTCTGGCGGCAACAACATCCATGTCCTTCCGCGGTTTCTCTGCCTTGAGCCTCCGCCGTCATCAAGTGGCTTCCCTGGAACCCTCCAGCGAGGAGGAGCTCCATCTCCTTGATCTCCTCCATTCCCGCCTCACCGAATCCCTCCAATCCCTCCTCCCCTCACCCGACTCCAAAATTCCCTTGCCCTCTCTCACCCTCTCCTTCCCCTTCCTCCACAAACTTCTTGATACCCTTCTCGCCTGCGAAAACGATTTCAAATCCCTTCTTCTCCTTGTCCTTTCGCGAAACCCTAGCCTCATCTCCCGCCCGCCTCTGGACCGCGCCGTCCCCGATCTACTTGACCGAGCCGTCAAATCGCTTGACCTCTGCAACGCTGTTTCCCTCTCCCTCCACTCCCTTCGCCTCTGGAATCGCCACGCCGACATTGCCGCCTCCGCTCTCCACCGTCCAGGTGGCCCCTTCACCCCCCCGCAAATCAACCGCGCCGGAAGAGCCCTCTCCAAGCTCCTTCACTCCAGCTGCACCAGCCTTATCACCTCTTCCTCATCGTGCAGTCGGATATGCCGAATCTGCTCCGCAAAGAAACAACTACAGGCCATGGCGTCCGGCTTCACCACTCCACGCAGTGTTGAATCAGGCAGTGCTTCCGTGCTTGCACTCGCTGTGCACACCATAAGCACTCTGCTGCACTTTTCCATGTGGATGATGGTGGCTTCGTTTCCTTGTGGCAGCGGGGAAAGTCAGCCACCACCGCCGATTCAAACTGCCACAAGGCAAATGCCTTGGGCGTTGGCTTTGTCTCGCTTACATGAGAAAATTGCAGAGGATATAAGGAGGGAGAGAAAACAGGGAGGCTTACTAGTATCGGCTGGGATGCTAGAGGAGACTCTGGCTTTGGAGAGAAGCGGCAGGGAGGTTTTGGAGATGACGAAGAGTGAAGTAGGAATAGAAGCGGCAGCTGCTGATCTTGCCTTTGCAAGCCGAAAGCTTGAGGAAGGACTGGTGCCTTTTGAAAGGAAGGTGAGGGAGGTTTTCCATAGATTGATAAGGTGCAGGGAAGAGGTGATCCGTTGTTTGGGGAACAGAAGCGGCTCCTCTTCTTGTTCCTCAGTTGATTCTGTATAACGAAAACTGCAATTAAGGTTTGGAGTAAGCTCCAAGCTTTTGCCCGGATCAAAACTTGGTTATTTTGTTTGCTTTGCACACGCTTCGATGTTTTAGAATTTTTCGTTGTATATCTTTATGGATTACTACTATTTGTGGTAAGAGATGTGCTGGTGATTACTTGATTTTGTAGTCTCTTCAAAAAATAATCTTTATGATCTTTGTGAAAAAAATTGCGGGCCATATTTTATAATAACCCTTTGGAGAATAAATTATGTGGGAATATTACTTTTTTTAAAAGCTAACAATTTCTACAAATTATTTTGGCTGTGCATATTCTGTACTTGGGCAAACTAACTGGCTGCTAGGATTGTTATTTATTATAGGAACTGACAACAATTCTTTCTTGCATGTTAACAAATTCTACAAATTATTCTGGTTGTACAGATTTTGTGCTAAGACAAACTAACTGGCTGTTGAGGAGAACTTGTCTTCGAGTTCATTCCCTTCTGACAATGCATTTGGAAAACTGTATTCTAGATGGGAGGATTGATCATCTGACTAAAACAATTGAAGCAATCTAATAGTCTCTCACTGCCCTAAAATTATTGAAAGATGCAGTATCTATTAAGTGGTTGGAAGCAAAAATTAGTTTCTTTTGCAGGGAGATTCCAATTAATTTGAACCATATGGCTTTAAGGAAAAATCCCTCATCTTTGATGAATAACTTTCTTCATCACTTGTTTGGGAAAACAATGCATACTATAACTTGGAACACCTCCACTAAACCTAAAGATTGTGGTGGGCTTGTTCTCAATAATCTTGATACTATCAACCTGTTGTGTAAATTTAATGTTATTTGGAGGCATTATAATTCCAATTTAATTCTCTCAACTTGGTGTCCCGAAATTTATGGCTCACTCTTGTTTAAAATGAAGAGCAAATTTTCACCTTTTTGGAATGCTTTACTGCAAACTGCTGTTTGAATTAAAAGATGTCTATCCTTTCAAGTTAACTATAATGGCAAGATGTTTTTCTTCAATGATCTTTAGCTTGATGGAGCTTTTCCATTTGAAAGGTATGGCAATTAAATTTTCTCATGGTTTTCTTTCTTAGTGCATGCCAAAGTCTCTGTTATGATTATCAATAACGGTTGTTATCTTCCCTCAACCAATAATGCCCTGAAAAGTTTTATTCAACTAATTCATCTAATCCCTATTGGAGATTCCATGATTGATTGCTCTTAGTTAGGTAATGACAACTATAATCACAAAACTATCTACTCTTCTATATATGAAGATCGACCCAAAAAACATTGGAATAAGTTCCTCTAGTTTAAAGGTTACTTCCTTAAATATGTTGTGATTATCTGGAAAATTCTTATGAAGGGGCTTAAAACAAAAGACTCTTTAATATAGAGGCAATGATATTAGTCCCCAATGTATTTATGCAGTGATCTCCATGAAACACTGACATTTATCCTTTGAATGCTATTACTCCCTCATTATTTTCAAAGCTAGCATTCCCTATGGGCTCCTTTCACCTTTTGGATACAACTTGTCTCAAGTTTTAGTACATGCTGATACTATAAGCTACAACATTTTTGGAAAATTTTTCCGTCCTTACTGTGCGCATAAATGTTTCAGTACATTAGACTTGAGAGGAATAACAGAATCTTTGAAAATGCTAATTCTCATATTGTTACTATCTTGAATAAAATATGCTTTGCCATTAGTCAAAAGGGCAAGAAATGGAAAATTTAGGGGCAATTCCTCCTTATATCAACAATCTATATCTTCTCTAACTTTATTATGTGATTGTTTGACTTGGATTATATTGTCTTTATATTTTTTTTTCTAAGCTACCTTACCCGAATACCTTTTTCATCCAGAACCATCAAGGGAATATGGATATACTAATATTATAGGGGACTCAACCGGCTATCATTGTCCTCATTTACATGCTGCTGGCCTAGGAATCTATTTCTTGACTTGTCCGTGCTATGTGGGGCCATTCACTTTGAGTTTTGGTAATTTGGACACTCATGATAGCAATATTAATGATCACCTTATTACTGTAACTTAATGCTGCAGTATATACTTTTGTTTGCTTTTTGCTGTCTTGTGATATATCTTTGACTCGGTAGACTTCTGATCCCCTGGCAGTGACTCCTCTTAGCAATTTATATGGAATCCTGCATTGTCTAGTTATAGATCTCAAGTCTAGCAGCATTGTTTGGGTACACATTTTTATCATTAATAATCTAATAAAGTCGTCCTTATGACAGTGTTGTCTCTTTCTCATGCAACTATAAGATCTTTTTGGGTTGTCTTTTGGTGAGCTATGACAAAATCCTCTATGAAAAATGAGCTCTACTGGCTATCTGCTCAAGTTTTTTGCTTACTACTCAGGCCTAAAGTTTACTAGGCAGTTGCATCGGTTGGTTACCTCTTACTTCAGTATATCGTACTTCTGCCTATATATATTTCAGTCTTCCATCCGATGTCTTTACATATAGAGATGTCTAGATATTGGATGCATTTTCATATGCTGCGGTCTATTGTTCTATTCTCCCTTACTCTGAAATACGAATGCATACTCTTTCATATATTTTCTCAACCTAGGCTTACAACTTTTCTCTTATGCTTGTTGTGGATAGCCTTGGATGGAGCAATTTGTGATTGAACCAGGATATGACCTTAGCTAATTTTCGGAGATTTTTATCTTCTTATACTTTTTGGTTTTGCATTTTGTTTACAGGTCCAACAAGTCTTAAAGGTCTTATGCCTTTTTTTTTCTTTGGCATTACTTTGTCCAATCAAGTGTCATGAGACTTTTTTGTATTTTGAATGTAATTCTTTTTTACCAGTGATGAAATTAGTTGGTTGTGGCCCTCATTTCTCTCAAAATATATATAATACTGTCTCTCACTCTAGTTTTATTCAGAAAATAGAAGAAAGTATCTGAAGTCGAAGGCGTCCAATATAATTAGGGTCCTAGGGATCAATTTGGATTTTTTAGTTGCTAAATAACTATTCTAAGTTACATTGAGATATTCTAATCCAATGAGGCTATTTGTTAGCAGGATTTAAGCATTGTATGCTTGCCAAACTGGCAAAATGACAACTTTCAATTATATAGAATTTTAAATCACATTTCTTCTCCATTTTGCCTTTAATTTTGATTTCATCAAATCCTAGAAACTTATATTTGCATGTCTCACAAACGCCTCTTCTTTTTCCCTGGACGTTGCTTCTATCAATGCCTTCTACTGTTGCTCCCATTGATGCATTCTGTAGCTACTTCTCAGATTCTTTCTCAATTATTATTTCATTAACACAAATAGAATTGATAAATTATTTTATTAATTAAAATTATTAATGTCCAATCAAACAAATCAGAACATTTGTATGTGTTAATGTTACAATTAATTTTATCTTACTAATTAATATTTGTTGATTTAAATGTCATCATATTTAATGATAGTAATTTTTTTTATTGAATTTGTACCGCACCTTTAGTCTAATGACCGTCTCCTTTCAGCTTATTTAGTACATCTAAGTTTATGCTAACCATGTTTATGCAGTTAATAATGCTAACAAGATTCTCCAGGATTCATTATGCGATGAAAGGTTGGTGGGATACTCATTCTTCATTGTAAGGCGACAGACTTCGATGATTGTATTTTTTACACTGCCCTTGATTCCATTTGACGTAAGTTAGGCAGGGCATTTGGCAAATCCTTGTGATTAGACCTATTACCATTTCTTTCTGTCATGATACTAGCCCATATATATCATCATCTCATATATATATTAGTCTCAGAAATCTTAAACCACACATGTCAATGGTCCTAATGTTGCATGCCCTAATGTATATGACATAATGCGACGCGTACAAATGGCATGTGTTATTTGCATCATGCATGGGCATTGCGCTCATAACCCGCACTGATTTTCTTATTTTATATGAAAAAACGAAAAATTTTTGTAAATATTATTCATTTCTTTAATATTTATATATCTAACACCTAAATTTTAATATTTATTTATGTAGCACATTGAAAATACTAATATTAATTTTTTTAATGTGAAACATGCCTTATTCATCAATAGGTTCTCCTAGTTATTATGACACAAAATATTATATATAAAAATTTTAAATTTGGTTTTTCAATATGAAAATATGTAGGGATTGTGTTTATATATATGAAAATTTTGGTATTTGAGATGTTGAATATTTGAGAGTTACATTTTCTTATTATCATGCCATCTTATCTTTTAATTTAACCTTCTTTCATATTCATATGAATTCTTTAATATTTTGCATCGCTCTATGCCATGCACTATCTGTTATCACTCTGCAAGAACTTTGCGTTATGGTTTGTCATTCACATATAGATGTAAATTTACTTTTACAATTTATTGACTGTTAACAACACTTTATTGATCAATGTAGAGTAGGCATGAAAAATCTTATTATTGTGACCATACTTTTGTACATTATAAATATTTTTTAGCTATGATTACAACTTCTAAATGCACTAGCTAGAGCAGCAGG